TCACTGTTGCTGGCTGGAATCGATTCCATAGTTGTGTTGTTCGAATCCAGTTGTCTTGTCGATTATTGGTTACGCGTGGCCTGTCACTCTGAGGATGGCCTCTGACGGCATTCGTCTGTTGCCAACGTTGCCATAAACACCAAATGGTGTTTCTGTGGACGTTAAATTGTCTTGCAACATCACGTTTACTCGATCCTGCTTCAAGCATACCAATGGCTCGCAGACGCTCATTTTCGGACGTGGCGTGGCATTTCGTGATGTTGAATAATTGCGTAATGTTGTTGTTTTTCTGAGTGGTTGTTGTCAGCACGATGCTAAACAATGCATATGGAATCCCGTTAACGCACATGTTTTATACCCATGCTTGGGTAGTGAAATGCATGGAGCTTGCATAAAAGTCAACTTTTGCATGAAATGCAAAAGTCATCTGTAGCAGTTGCGTTTTTTGTAACTTGATTCCATACATGTACTACAATATTGAAAACCAAACTTTACTTGTTTGAAAAATACACTAAAATATTGGTGTCACAGGCACTTTTGTTGTTGAGTATATATAGTTACACATCTCTCTTGAGAGGTTCGGGTCAGTTTGTCAAAAATGAACGCAAATGCCATCTCAAGTTTACTGAGAAAACAATATATGAAATTCTAATTGATAATATCTATGTAAAATTTTGGGGTAAAACATTTCAGGCAGGAAGTAGGCATCCCCACGGTCACCAATTGTGCACCCCTTCTTGTTGATCATTTCTTTATGCATATGAATCGGAATTTCTGCTCGGATTGACAAAGTCAAAACAATGTAATTAAGCTTCAGGCATATCGATGATCTGATATTTTTAAATAACAATAAACTAATTCCCTTCCACCGATTTACCCATCTGAACTTGAAATAAAGGACGCCAGTGAGACTGCTTCATTTCTTTCATATTTAGTGACCGCCTCCGTGGTCTAGTGGTAGAGCGTCCGCCCGGAGAGCGGAAGGTCCGGGGTTCGGAAGGTCCGGGGTCTGGGGTTCGATCCACGGCCGCGTCATACCAAAAGACGTTAAAAGATGGTACTTGTTGTTATCCTGTCTGGCGCTCGGCATTAAGGGGCTAAAACAAGGACTGGTCGGCTCGGAGTCAGTATACTGTGTCTGAGTGGGGTATTCATGTTAAACTGCGGCATGGTATCTCAGTGAGCTAGCACTAAAAATCGGCATCAGTACGGACTAATACAAACAGCCACACAAACACACACACGTACATGCACGTCGCTATATAGGTGCAATAATCTTGGACGCGACGTTAAACCCCATTTCACCTCACCTCATATTTAGATCTATGCAGAGTGACAAGCTTCAGAGTGGAAACCTCCACAAGACTTCAACTTTCCAATAGTCGACCTTCCCTTTATGTCGAGCAATATGCCCACAGCTCCAGCTCTTGGTGTCGACATTTTACAACTTTTGAGGTACAGTTGGGCATGCTCTTTCTACGAAGATTTCAATGAGCGTCATACGCCTCCTGCTCAGAAGCCGTTTGATCGAGGTTACAGCATTCAAGGCCTCGGCATTCAAAAAGTCTTATGTAGACGTGTTGAGGACATTTACAAATTTGACACGTCAGTGACAAAAAGGATGTCCGATGCTATTCCCTATTTTGACTTGTACCATATGTTCCCGTGTTTTTTCAGGTGATCAGTTGCCTTGCCTTTGCATGTGTTTGTGACGGGTGCCAACGGTGGGGCAGGAAACGCTCACCTTTTCGCAAACACCTGGTATCATCACTATTTGATAGGGATTTGTAAACACATGCTCATGATATAGTCGCTCTCGTACAATCGATTCTGCTCTTAGCAGAGATTTTCCAAAACCAGGTAAAGAAAGAAAATTCTCTGTTGAACTCTGCATATAAAATTCCTGCATAACAAATTGATGCAAGAACACTTAAAGATATTTCATAATTGAACATATATTTTTGCACTTTTTACCTTCATTGGTTTGGATAAAAGCTCTCGACTCTCGACTTTAAACTCATGTCGCAAGTATCGAACAAAGAAAGCTGTCTTCAACCCATATACTGAAGAATGGATATTCATATTGACGGAAAATACATCATCCTGTGTAATTCAAAATGTCCACCTTTCTGATTTTGTCTTTAATGAGAGAGGATGTAGACAAGGAGATTCTTTTTGTGGCTGAAAGTTTGGGTATTATGATTCGGAAAAAAACAATGATATATAAACATAAAGAACATACACTAGGACACTATGCCAATGATACCTAGCCTTAAAGCAGATATTGACACACTATCTATTTTGTTTTCATAATGTCAAGTAAGGTCAAACTATGTCAAGACGTTACATCAGCTTGGCATGAAGGACATTTTGACGTTTCGGGATAACTATCAATGCTCCGATGGAAAAGGAAAAGAATTGAAGCTATTCACAAACTTCAAGGAAAATTAAGAAACAAAACCTAATCGATATTTTGTAAGATAGCAATTATTAAATCATTAGAATTATCAACATTAGTGCATATATTCTCACCTTTACGGAATCAACATAAGACATTTATTGAACAATTGAATAATTTTTAATAAACTTCGCGGCCAGAGAAAGTATAGGTCGAGTTCCTTGATCGATATAAAAAAAAACAAGAAGAGGTTTTGTTGTGGATTATAATATAATCTAGGGAGGGGTAACAAATGATTGATCAATCACAGTTTGAATGAAATTGTGCAATCACAGGTAATGTAAGCTCAAGGTAAACAATGGTGGGGTAAGAAATTTCATTTTTCAAAAGTTGTCTGAAATGTCACCAAAAATTGTCAGACACACTACAAGTTCATTGTCGACACATTTGCCTTCAATAGCGTGTATGACCAGCTGCCTCAATGCATGCTGTAATACGCCGCCTCATCGATGACGTCAGTCTTCTGATGACGTGGACTGGAATCCGTTGCCACTCGTCTCTTTTGGCCTGCTGCAATTTTTGTCTGTTGACGGGAGGCTGATGGCGTGGTCTAATCTGTCCGTCAAGATGGTCCCACAGATGTTCAATAGGATTCATATCGGGTGAGTGGGCAGGTCAGGGCAAAACGTCAACGTTCTGCTGGTTTAGAAAGTTCCGAGTCAGCCTTGCAGTATGGGGCCTGGCATTGACGTGTTGAAACAATGTCCCCTGCTGTTGGTTTTGTAAGAACGGAAGCACAACTGGCTGCAACACTTGGTCTCTGTACTGCACAGCGTTCAGGTTTCCCTGTATAATCACCAAATCAGCCTTCTGATCTCCACATATACCGCCCCACACCATGAAACCTCCCCCGCCGAATGGATGGACCTCTCGAATACACGCCGGAGCCAAACGTTCCCCTCTGCGTCGATAAACTCGTTCTCTGCCGTCATTTCGAAACAAGTTGGGATGTCCCAACGCTGTTGCTGCCGTCGCCGTTGCCGTTACGAATCTGTTTCGCAGGTGAATGAGCCGTATCTGACCGTTGAATCAGCCTGGCTACTGTCAATGGTTTACAACCAAACCTTCTGGCAATTTGGACCTGTGTTGCCCCCATTTCGGCCATACCGATGGCTCTCTCTCTCTGCTCATGTGACAGTCGTGGCATTTCTTTTGTTTGCTTTCATCACGTGTGGTTATACCCTGCAGACGAACGCATTTATACAGCTAACCTGCACGTGCAGTTTATGCCATATTTTTCTCTAACCGCACGAGCGCCGTCAAAGGTGGCGCGTTCGGGTGAGGTGTTTTTTGGTACCTGTTCCTATGCAGTCATATTCCCAATACCCACTTTCCACTAGTTATCGCTGTTTTTAGGAAAATTACAAATTGCCAACCTATACTTTCTTTTGCCGCTTAGCTTATCAATTTAGCTGGAATGGAAAACCTGACAAAATTTAAAGACAACTTTTGTTCACTTCAATTATCCACAGTGAAAGATCTTAATCTCAATTTCATTTACCCCTGCAAAATACCTATCTACGAAACTGTATCATTAAATCGCAGAATATTGGGAGATATGGTTTCTGACAATCTATTTTACTTAATACACTACTTAAATACACCTTTAGGCTGTCAGACTTTGCACTACTGTTGGGACTTAACTTGATGCATGACTTTACTATGGAAAAGGCTTTGTCGCTTTCTATTTCTTAACCATGTGGTTAACAATGCTGCTAGAAGACACCAAGCCTCAAGTTGTTACTTTGAATACTCTGTCTACACAATACTTATGTTCCTCTGCAATGAATAAACAATATTAATAACAATAAAAAGTCTATCTGGACCATCTTCGCACTGTCAGCTGTCTCGATCTTCTTGATGACCTCCACAAAACGGAACAAGTTGGGGTGACAAGGTGGTGAGACGGTTGTGGTGGTTGTAGGTACGCGGCGATTCTGCCCCCACTGGACCGGTAGTTAGAAGCTCTCTCTGGCAATAGGCCGCACAATGACGGTATTGATGTTGATCCGGACATGGCACGAAGAATATACACTCGGTCCTGCAGGTCTGCCCAAGATGTAAAGGTGCCGTCCATGTAGACTTCCAGCAGACTAGAGAGCTTCAAGCTGGGCTGAAAACTTTAGAATCATCTTGTCTTCAACGTAGGAAGCCTTGACTATCCAAAAGGCTCGCCTCTCTGTCCAAACTCCATCCACCTGAGATCTGGTCTATGGCAGAACCTGTACCGTCTTCTTTCTGCGTCTGTACAGAGCGCTGATCATAGACGGGATGGATGGTAGGATAGGATCTGGGTTCTCCGTCCTCTCTAATCTCTATCTCATCCTCATACAAGCTGCATCTTGCTGGTTTCATTATGTGCTGTCCTCTTTATGTTGCTGATGGAGCCGACTTTGTTGCTGATGGAGCCAACTTTGTTGCTGATGGAGCCTCCTTATGTTGCTGATGGAGCTGACTTTGTTGCTGATGGAGCTGACTTTGTTGCTGATGGAGCTGACTTTGTTGCTGATGGAGCTGACTTTGTTGCTGATGGAGCCTCCTTATGTTGCTGATGGAGCTGACTTTGTTGCTGATGGAGCTGACTTTGTTGCTGATGGAGCCGACTTTGTTGCTGATGGAGCCGACTTTGTTGCTGATGGAGCCTCCTTATGTTGCTGATGGAGCTGACTTTGTTGCTGATGGAGCTGACTTTGTTGCTGATGGAGCTGACTTTGTTGCTGATGGAGCCGACTTTGTTGCTGATGGAGCCGACTTTGTTGCTGATGGAGCTGACTTTGTTGCTGATGGAGCTGACTTTGTTGCTGATGGAGCCGACTTTGTTGCTGATGAAGCCGACGTTGTTGCTGATGGAGCCGATTTTGTTGCTGATGGAGCCGACTTTGCTGCTGATAGAGCCGACGTTGTTGCTGTCTGCTGGAATGGTGATGTTCTTGGCGAAATCACCGACGATGGTCCTTATTCCTTTGCATGTCGACCTCTCAAACTTAAAGTTAACACATGTCTGTCTGGCGAAAACCGTTCTATGCACACCATACCGATTTACCAAGTCACCCAATCCACAATTTCATCCCCAACCTAACCTCAAAAACCATCAGGTATTATTTCTGCCTATAGTCCTGGCCCATTCGCTCCCCTAACTTCGTTGTATCCAAAGCAAGCGGATACTCCTCAGCCATGTTAAACATGGGTCAATACAAGCAAAAACAGCACTATCCTTGAAATGTTTGGTAGCTGGCTGGGTACTGAAGACCCAACACGCCACGTGCACGAGCCCACAAAGCACTTGCGTCATGGATATTGCTTAAACACTCCAGATATGCTCCAAGGACTATGCCCCCCGCGCCGGCTGTTGTATGGGGGTCAACAGGGGAGCACGAGTGCTTCTCACAGCAAGCAGGGAAATGGTCTGTCACAGAGGTGTTCTCTTTCGCCTTTGTTTTTAACTCTGAGTCAATAAAGAGGCGGGCGGCAGTTGAACAGTCAGTTTGTCAAATCAAATAAGCTTTCATCTGACATATTGATGGAAATCTGATACTAAACGGCTAGACGACAGAAAACTACAATTATTGGTCATCAGATATATGTGAACTGAAGGTTGAAAGTGGTTGTATGTTGTCGTTTTCACTTTATCAAGTCGATAGTACCTGAAGCGGTAGAATAGGAACAACTTTATGTCATCTCTATGTAGGTGTATATGGGACGAAATAATCGTGATTTACCTATCTTGGGTGCAACAAGTGTTTAGCAGATACAAGTGAGTGAGTGAGGGAGTTAGTTGGGTTTTACGCCGCTTTTAGCAATGTGGCATCCCACTTTGTACACATGTCGTGAATCGAACCCGGGTCTTCGGCGTGACGAGCGAACGCCTGAACTACTCGGCTACCCGACCGCCCCTCAGCAGATTACAAAAGAATGTTAATACATCAACTCGTAGGAGTGAGTGAGTGAGTTGGGTTTCACGCCGCTTTTAGCAATATTTAGCGGGGGACAACATAAATGGGCTTCACACATTGTGCCAAGGAGCTAAATCGAACCCGGGTCTTTCGGCGTGACGGGCGAACGCGTTAACCACACCACTCGCAGGAATAGACCGAGTGAGTGACTGAACGTCTCGGATTTACTTTTACTAATTACATAAAACCTAAAATGGCGACTGCAACTTAGAAAATAGCACAAACCTGATATAACACTTACACAGAATTTACTAAACCATTTCTCCACAATATTATTATGAGATGCCAAAACGCAAGTGCGAAACAGCAGCTCTGCCTTGCGCTACCTTTTATTCTTTCGTCGTTCTAGCACCCAAAATGTGTTTATGGGGAAGGATGATGGTCATGATGATGGTTTATATTTGCTCACGCACAACTGCCAGGCAAAACAAAGTATACACACATGTTTTATGGCGGCTAAAATGAAATAATCAAGAAATGGCTATTCGATGATGATGTATTTGATACGGCTCAGTATCAAAGTTGTGTTTTGGGCCTAAATTTACAGTAAAGAGTACATTAGGTAGACCGTTCTTGTTGTAAAGTCTACTAAAGGTACACCGGGAATACCATTCTTGCCGTAAAGTCAACTAAAAGTGGATAGGGTGGTCACAATGGCGGCAGAGTAAGACTATGACCACAAGAAACGCGCAACTGTCACGTCGTTTATAACTGCAATATGGCTGCCCAAAGCCTAAAACACCCCTCGCTGTCACACTGTGTCAGTCCGACCTGTAGCATGTATCAGTAACAGCAATACTGCCTCGATACTGCCCTCGGGAATCTCCAGCAAAGTAAGTCTACAGTCATCTTCCAAAGGCAAGGGAGTTAACTGGCTGTCCAGTTTCCACCCTTGCCGAACAAGGCAGCAATTATGAAGTTATTTTGGCTGGACTAACGAGTCTATGCATAGTCCAATCAAAATCGCGTAACGAATTCTAAAACTTTTCATGCATTTAATCAATTGGCCTACGTGATTTGATGCACTTCGCGAAGTAACACCCGTTTTATTTCGATATATATCTTGATCATCGATGAGATCGTCTTGACTGGGCGCCACCATTTTGTTTGAAGCAAATGCAAGTGATGTCAGAGGTGGAATCTGATTGGTCAATAAGAAGGAAGTAGAAGGGACATAAATCGTAATATACCTTGGTGGCGCTACGATCGTCCACAGAAATGAAGCCTAGTTGGGCAAGGGTGAAAACTGGACTTTTAGTCAGTTAACTCCCTTGCCTCGGGAAGATGGTCTACAGTTTGACCCTATATCTGTCTTCAGAGCCGACTAAAAAGGCTTAGGTGGCTGCACGATGTAAGCTATCTGCGTGTGTATCATGCCACGGAGGTTTACATGGTCCAGATTGTTTCTCTACAGTTCGATACCCGTGAAGGTCCAACCAATGCTTGCCGTACGAGGCGACTAACCGGATCGGTTGGTTAGCCTTGCTGACTTGGTTGATGCATGTCATCGTATCCCAATTGTGTGGGTCGATGTTTATGATATCAATCACTGGATTATTGGGTCTATATTCGTTTATTTACAGACCGCCGTCATATAGCTGGAATAATGCGGAATGTGGCGTTAAACAACAAACAAACAAACAATCTCTACAGCTCAAATAGTGTTGACTGGGGCGAACGCGGCTTTGTCTCGACCTAGATACTTCAAAAACTAGATAATTTATGTATATAGATTGGTGAAAACCAGTTCTGAATATCATTTAGAACAGCCTGTAGGCAAAATAAATACTGAATAATCATCTTAAGGAAATACCTATACTACTTGGCGATGTTGTCATTGCAACTAGCGTAAGCTTTAGGTTGAAGTCAGGGATACGTGCAGATTGAAAGCGTCATGGGTGAACCAGATGTTAATTTGAATAATGCTATAACCCGCCAATCAATGACATCAATGTTATAAGTAGGGGTCTGTATGGCTGCACTGGGGTGCTTTGTTTCAGGGACATCTGTCGTACACGCCGTGCTGGAGAAGGGGTCGACTTTGAAGGTCTAACAGCCATGGTATTACTCACGTCAATCAGTTAAAAAACTACCAACAACAAATATGTTTATTTTTTGTGAATAATGTTTTTAAGATTACAGAATAGACATGGACTTCGTACATTGTTTCTTGTAGTGTCGCCGTGCAACACACGCCCTAAACACACGCACACACGTACGCTCACACACACATACACGCACGCACGCACGCGCACATTCACACAGACGCACACGAACATGCACATGCTCACGCAACACTGTCAGTCTGTGTTGGTATTTGAAGCAGTACGTTTCCAGTCGTGAAAAATCACTCCCCAAAAATATGGACAGACGAATAAAGATCACGCCACATTCTATCCCGTTGAACTGCTTATATTATAAGTCACGGAAGGACTAGATTCTTGGTGAAAGCCTCCTGTGTTGTTGACGCTGTGATACACAGTAGGTGTTGCCACGTTGCAGCATTGTCCTGACAACTGCACAACAAGTCCAGCAGCATTGTCCCCACAACTGCACAACAAGTCCAGCTCATTCAGCCCTATAATGGGCATAATGCAGGAAGCATAAAGACAGATTGCTGGTTCATTCAGATGCTGTGTAGTAGGTACCTTATCTATTGTATGGTGACACATGTCGATGCATGTCACAGTACTTACTGTACACACATCTACTTGTTCAATGTCTGTGGCATAGTGTGTGTGTGTGTGTGTGGGGGGGGGGGGGGGGGGGGGGGGGGGGGGGGGGGGGGTCAGACGAGAGCCATTGGGCCTGATCTAACCCATCGCCAGCATAGTACACCATGTTAAACAACTACAAACACACACCACATCGACATCCAGGTTCCGTGTCCCTCAGTTTACCGTATTTCCTCTTATTAGACGTAGACGCCCGGGCTTCTATTTATTTCGGACAAGCCTTTGACCCCGCGTTAAATAGAGGCCCGACGTCCATTGGAGGCCCGGATTCTATTAATACCCCCATTTCACTATGACCACGAATGTCACGAATCGTCACGAAATGGAAATATTTTGTGTTCGTAGATATCCGTAGATATATCTCAATCAATTCTCGAAGTCCGTAGTTGAATCTTATTTGATTCCCAGATATCCATGCAGTTCGCACTCGGAGACGTTCGGGAAATCGTTGAAAAGTCATTGATCATTAATTGTATCAATTGATCGACCCGGCGTCTATAAGAGGCCCGGCTTCTATTAGAGGCCGGCGTCTAATAGAGGAAATACGGTATGCATATCCACGGCTTGGCGTGTCAATGCAAGGCACAATCTATTTCTACAGAATATATTGCATAAATACTGAGCTCGTCTTATTTCGGACAGTCTGTACAAATAGAAGGGGCGATGTGTCCATGTTGTACTGTACAGTGTTGACGCGGCATCACTAAATAACATTGACAAGAACCGCGTATTAAGTGCATGTCACACAAATAAATCTACTATAGTTCAATAAGTTCTGACACTGGTTCGACACAGTGATAAAACACAGTGGCGTGTCTAAGTGGTTAGTGGGAGGAATCGTAGCTATAAATGACATAACCTTTCACCACAGATTGTATTGATGTGATGACGTGGTGAAAACACATGAACGAAAACAAGAACAACACATCATTAGATGTTCATGTGCTATATAAAAATCTATTAGCGTTGTACGTATGACATCGTGCGTCTGTTGCGTTGCCCTTTACCCTTAAGCTGTTTTGGGTTTTTTTTCTAAAGCAAGGATCCTCGAGCAAGGATTTCTTTGTGGTTCGCATGCCTTTGTAAAGAACGCTGAGACAGGATGTTTTAATCAGCAGAAATCGGTGCCACACATTCGTGTGAAAAAATATAAAAATACTGAGTTTGACGTCTTTATTACTGTATGCGTAACGAAGGTTAAGTCATGTTAACGACACTAGGGAAACCACGTGTGTATGAATGATTTAGCTCGGTCAGTAGACCAAGCGCACCATATCGCTAGATCCAGTCTTAGCTGCACTTGGACCCCAT